TATATATATATATATATATATATATATATATATAAATATTGCACATTGAGTGCTGATGCTAATAAAATAGTACTCAATATATAATAATAGAGCTATAATTCATAATAATAAATTTACTTTTTTTCCCCACTAGTAGCACAACTCTCAGTTTCATGCACAATGCAACTGTCCCATGTGCTGATAGCTCAGGGGTAGAAACTTCGAGTGATGCGAAATTGCTTCGATTTCAATCCCAGCTTGAAGCAATCAAATGTCTAGCCTATTTCACTGTGATACAAAGAAACAGGCCTGTATGCGGATGACATTATTAGGCTCTTTCAAAAATTTCAGTTGAGCACTGTTGAGAGATAGGGTAATTGTAAACAGCAGCCATCTTCGTTAATACAATGCTCTTCATTGAAAATGAATTGAGCACTATGCCTGTCTGGCATTTCCCTTTCTAACTGCTGTGTACTGATAGCTCAGGGGTAGAAACTCCAACTGATACCAAATTAGTCGGGTTTTGATCTTAGCTTGAACGAATTGGATGCCTAGCCACACTGAGCTGCGATACAGTGAAACAGGCCTGCATGTGGATGACATATATATATATAAAAATATATATATATATATAGTATAAAGATTCTCATTGATATTTCTCTTTAAAATGAAGAGAGGATCAGTTATGCATTTTTATGAAATAAATATGCAATTAATTTCTATAGACATTTACTAAACTAAATACTGTTGTATGAGGCTTCAAATTATTTGCAATTTCCATAATTTTGTATTTAAACAAGTACTTCAATTTTAGACTATTTCACATGCAAAGACATCATGACCCTTGCAGTGTCTATAAATCATGTAAAAATTAATGTGAGTTAAGAAAACCCTAGAAATTAGTAATTTTATTTTGTTTTGAAGTTTTTCACATAAAGCTTGCTTGAACTTGTGCAAATCATTTTTGATCTTTTTTTGCACTGTAAAACATCCCCAAGTACTGACTGCAGAAATGATCATCTCCCTGTCATATGCAAAAGAAACATAATACTATAAAAATTAAAGAAACCCAGAGTAACATGAAAATTGCAATATGACCCACTTCATAAGGGTTCCATTTGCAAATGAACCTAACACTTTTTCTTCTGAGGAAAGGAAGACCAGAAAGAAATGAAAATTATAGAAATGTGCAGGATTGCTCTGTGATATCTGTACTCTTATATAGCAGTGAATGCTAGACAATATCCTCACAGATGAGGAGAATAATGGAGGCAGCAGAAATATGGTTCTATGCAAGTATTCAGAGAATTACATGGATAGAGCAAGTAAGCAATGATGTAGTATTAAAATCTGATGTTAGGTCATTAATAGTGTAGAAACATTATTATTATTATTATTATTATTAATAAATAAAAATAAAAATATAAAATAATAATAATAATGAATATCATAAATAAAATAAAATAAAACAAATAACATAAAACCAAAAAAATAAAAGTTCTTCCAGAATGCAACAGAAACATTTCCTGCCTAAAAATGGACTTCATGCCAAAAAACACTGAACTCAATCTCTTTCTGTTGACCCCTGGAAGGTCAAGATGTCCATCTCTTCTCCACAGAACATTACTTTCTATAATACAAAGTGACTTCTTCCTTTTATCACATGCAACCATAAAACACATGTAACTAAAATACACATACAAGTACAAAAATAAATAAAGTTGTATGATTTTAATTTACTATTTAACATGCTTTAATTGTTATTTCTGTGTATGTTTTTATTCCTGTGAACACGTAGCTGTTACTGCTGGTATGATGTGAGAGATCCCACACTGGTCAAAATGAAAAGGAATAAAGCAGCATGACAAGATGAGATTGTAACAGAAGTTCTGAGTGTCTTAGACAATTTTGGGATTAATAAGGTTACCAAAGTGATAAACGAAATAGGACAGCATCAGAATATTAGAGGACCTTGGCAGATTCATCTGCACAGTGCTGCCAAAAGGACCAGGTGCAAATGAATGCAAATTCTATTGAAGAAATAGCTTGATGCACTACATAACAAAACTGATGATTAGAATTTTAATGAATAAACAGCACGGCAGAATTAAACTGGAAATAGAGCAAGAACAATGAACTCAAGACTCTGATAAGAAATGATTTTCATGTTCTGAATACTATCAGATAAAGTAACAGAAATACAAAAAGATTTATACCTATGTTTCATGGATTATACATTTCTTTCTTTTTATGTGCCATGTCCTTTCAGGACTTAGGCAATTATGGCTCTCCACTTCCCTATATCCCTTTCAGTTCTCCTTCCCACTGCCACCTCCTCCAGACTACATTCTGTCATCCACTTGCATAAGCCTGCTAGGTATGTCATGCATTGTCTTCCCTTGTCTCACTTTCCCTCTATTCGACCCGTGAGTATCAGATTTACCAGGCCCTCCTTTCTTATTATGTGTCCTAGAAACTTCAGCTGCCTCTTCCTGATATTAAGTATAAGCCTCTTCCTTGTTTGCATCCTCTCTAAGACCTCATTGTTGCTCACATGCTCGGTCCATGATATCCTTAGCATCCTTCTGTAGAATCACATTTCCGCCACCTCGAGTCTCTTCTTCATCTTTGTGGAAATCGTTCAACATTTGCTGCCGTAAGGACAGATCATGTGTTCTATAAATGACTACATGAAGAATTACTTGAAATATTAGAGAAGCTTGATTTACATGAAAAAGATGTATAATTAATCCATAACATGTACTGGAAAAAAACAGTTTGCATATGGACAGAGAATGCTAAGTAAATTCACAAATAATAGAAAGGAGAGGGCAACAAGGATTTTTCTCACTGGATTTATTTAACCTGTAGAATGAGATGGTTTTAAAAGGACTTGTCAGGTTACCTCCTCCTAATTTTTAAAACTGCTACTAGGGGATGCTCTGAAGACTATAAATACTCTGTAATATTTTTCTCATTCTATTCTAATCTTATCTATTTATACATCGCCAAGTAACCTCTCACAGAGAACGCACTTCATTTTGGGAAATGCATGAACAATACATATACACACATGAATGTATGCACATTCACTCACTACACATACTTTGGACCAAAAAGGTTTACACATTCATTTGTTACACACATTACTGTCTTTGTTGCTTGTATACCTTTGTTGTTAATGCATTATCATTTGTTTGTACATACATAATAGTTCTTGTCCTTTCTTCACATTTTTCATGTGGACTCACATCCCAAACCTGCCATGTTGCTGTGGTATTTCAGAAGACAGCATGTTATTCCCAATTTCAAACACTGACGTTACTAATACCAAAACAAGTTGGGAAGTGTTACAATGTTTGCAATAATTTGGGAAACGCATAAACCAGCCCACAACAGACTATAAAACCTGTTAAGATTTATCATTATGGGACATACCTATAAAAATATTTTCTACACAGATGATATTGTGTTGGTAGAGTCAGAAGAAAAACTAAAACAACTATTAAACAAGTCAGTCAAAAAAAGCAAGAAGAAAGTGCTAGGTGATCAAATGTATGGCTGTCAGAAAAAAGGACAACACAAGGTGTGAGTTATATATCAGGTATGTCAAAATTAAGCAGGTGTGGAAATTTAACTATCTAGGTAGTATAATAACAGAAAGAGTGACATAGAAATCTGAAGGCACATAGAGAATGCCTTTCAGAAACTAAGCAAAATATTAAAGGATCAAAATGTCCTGAGAAACAAAAGATAGTCTATCTTGTTTCTAAGAACATTCTAATTCTTTGATACTTTATTTAATTTCTGAAAGGCATCTTTCACTATTCCCTATGTGCCCTCACATTTCTATATCACTCTTTTCATTTAGACTTGAAGTAACAGAAATGTTTCTTCTGACAAATGGTGAGAATAACATGGAGAAAACATGTGACAAATGAGGAAGTTTTACAAACAGTAGAAACTACAAAGAAACTGTTGCTAGTGACAGCTGAAGTTTAGGGGACACTTAATAACAAAAAACTGCTAGGAAAATCTAATACTCATAGGTCACATTGAATACACGAGAAGTAAAGAAAAACAGAAAATAACCTATTTGACAAGTATGAGTAAAATGGATATCAATATGTGTACCAGAAAAACAAAGAAAGGTGTTAAAAGTAAGAATTAGAGCAACAAAAGAAAGGAAGGTGTGGAGAGCTATGACCCCCTATCTTCTGAAGGAAGTGGGCACATAACAAGAGAGAGTGGGGAGTTGAGTGTGAGATCCTGGTTATAATTAATAGTGTGATAGCTTCACTTTATTTAGATTGAATTTTTATTTTCCAGAATTTCTTCTCACCATTCCTCCTGGAAGGCATGATTATTTCTTGGGGTGATTTTGACTTCATCAACAGCTTCTCTTTTATTTAGATATCTTTTTCTTTTTTTCCTCTTTTCTTCATTTTCCTTTCTTTTTTTATTTTTCTTCTTCATCTACCTTGATCTTTTCCTTCTTTTTTTTCTTTCACTTTTCCTGTATTTTCTTTTCTCTTCTCTTCATTCTTTTCTGCTTTTCCATCTCATTTATCATATTCCTTCTTCTTTTTCAGTTTCTCTTTTTCTTTTTTTAATCTCTTCTTTACTTCCTTTTCTTTTTTCTTCTTTTTTCTTTTTCTTTTATTCTTTTTCTTCTCTTCCACCCTTCCCTCCTTCTTTTCTTTTTTCTCTTTTACTTTTTCTTCTCTACCTTTTACCTTTTTTCCTCTTTTTCTTTTCTATTCCACTTTTATTTTATTTTCCCTCTTTTTCTTTTTCTTTATTTTTATTTTCACTCTTTTTTCTAAATTCTTTACTCTTTTTCTGTTACTTATTCATCTTTATTCCCTTTACTTCTCTCATGTTTCTTCTTCCTTTCATTTATATGTTTCTTTCTTATTTTCTTTTTTCTTCTGCTTTCCTTAGTCTTTTATCCCTTCTTCTTTTTTCTGCTTCTTCTTAATTATTCTTAATACTTTCATTCCTTCTGTTTTGCCTTATTCATGTATTTTTCATACTGCTTTTCTTTTCTTCTTCTTCTTCTTCTTCTTCTTCTTCTTCTTCTTCTTCTTCTTCTTCTTCCTTCCTTCCTTCTATTTCAATTTATTCATTTATCTTTCCTACTACTTTCTTCTTCCTCTCCTCTTTCTTCTTCTTCTCCTCCTCCTCCTTCTTCTTCTTCTTCTTCTTCTTCTTGTTTCATTTATCCTTATTAATTCTTCTATATTTTACTCATTTATTTTTCACAATGCCTTCTTCATTCCTGCCTCCTCTTCCTCCCCTTCTTCTTCTTCTTCTTCTTCTTCTTCTTCTTCTTCTTCTTCTTCTTTTTCTTCTTCTTCTTTATATAACATTTATTTTTCACACTGCTTTCTTCTCTCCTTCTTCTGCTTTCCTCTTCTTCACTTTCTTTTTTCTCCCTTCCTACATTCCTCTCTTTTACATTCTTCTCTGAATCCCCAATGTCAAACTCACAAAGTTCATCAAAGGAGAGACTGATGAAAAGCCTCTTAAATAACCTTTTCCTAATAACTCTTCTTCCCAATGTTACTTCAATGGCAAATGATAAAATTGATGTCTTTCTCTCATGCATTCACTTTAGTTGCATGTTTAAGATGTAACAGCTAATAGAGTATAGTTACAAGATCTTAACAATTAGAATTCAAAACTGTGTAGAAAGCAACAGGAAACCACTTCCTATATTTGCCAAGACAACATGGCAATTCATGGATAAAAAATACAGAATGATTGGAGAGTGATGATCTCCCATGTTCTGTTCCTGTTTTATCTTCCTTGTGGTAGCGTGAATTGATAAAAAGATTTGATCATTAAAAAATTTTCAAATTAAGCCGTAACTGCAGACATATATTTTAAAAAAATAAATCTGTTTTACAGTTGTTTTGAAGACATTATCATAAGAAATAAATTAGAAAATAAAATGTCCTTCACTATAATTCATGTACACACAGCTTTTACTGTCTATCTTAGAATTTATTCTAAATTTAAGGGAAGAAGATATGTTAACATGTATAAAAAATAAACATAAATGGAAGATTTTATTGCAAGATTTTAAGACATGCTCAAAACCAAAGAGTCTTTAAAAAATTTAACTTAGTTAATATATAAACCATAAAATTCTTTTGTAAACCTCAAGAAAGCAAACCCATATATAGACCTTCTACTTCATCACTTATGGGCAAATTTAACTGAACATCAACATAAGCCATCACCAATCCATCATTCCTGTGTCATATATAGTATAATTTCTTGCTGAAAGTTGTGTAATGGAAATGTGAGCAATTATTTTTTGTCTGATTGTTGGCAGCCAAACCAATTCCCTTGTCCTTACCACACTTTAATGGGAACATGGGGAGGCATTTAGCAAAACCGTAGGATGAAAAATTATACTTACCAAAAGGTAGATAAAATCAATAGAGTCTATGTTCACTAGAGGTTGTGCCTCAATAAAGTCACTATGGAGAAAGTAGTGGGAAAGTATGCCACGATCTCTTCCATGACACATAAAATCAGAAGGCATATAATATATTTTGATTTTTAATAATGGCTGTAATTGTTTTGATATCATAGGCTGCTCATTACTGATATTTAGAAAATACTTTACTATTACACCTGGTTTCTATTTGATTTGAACATTGAATTAGTGGGAAATATGCAACAATCCCAACTTGCTTGATTTTATTTCAAATCAAATAGGAAAGTTGGTTAACTGTATTGTGCTAGACAATTTTTCATGCCAGATATTATATTTTATATTTATAATTTGTCCATGCATCAAATATTGTTGCCACACCTGATTTCTTATATATTTAGAGATTCTTGATAAAATCCAAAGAAGAATCTGCAATGTTATTGGTCCTGTCCTGATATCTTGTCCTCAGTCACTTTCCCACTGCTGTAATGTAACTTCCCTTTACCTTTTTCATTTTTTCATGGCAGTTATTCCTATGCACTTTCATCTTTGGTGCCCAGACTCTATGAATTTAAGCACAGTATGAGATTGGTAAATGTTACCAAATCTTATAAGTGTTACTAGAATGACTACAATTATAAGGTCTACTTTCACAGTGTCTTTAGTATAACATACACAAAGGAACCTTTATTGGTTATTGGTACTGACCTGGCATCTCAGCTTCAGTCACCTCCCACCACTATAACATAACTTCCATGTGACTTTTCTATAAATACTTTCATAGCAATTGTTCTGATGCACTTTCCTCTTTGGTATCTCAACTTCATGAATTTAAGTACAGGATTGGTAGTTAAGTCTCATCATTTTACTGATACTAGATTTAACCATGAGTTCTATGCTAATAGTTTCTTCTCTTGCACTTCTTGCCTGTGGAAATCTTTTCTGGCTTTTTGCTTTCCTGTCAGCCATGATCTCCAAAAATTTAAATGCAATGTCAATAATCATATTTTGAATCCTATTCAAAAATATTAACATGGCCCCGTGAGTGATAAATTTTCAACCTTACAACCCCTTTCCCACAGATAAAATATTGATAGCCACTCATACTCTATTGCTATTTCCATGGCAAATGTTCAGATAAACTACATTCCTTAGTTCCACTAGTTCAGAACTTCACATCTATGACCTGCTATGCCATGTACACTTAATGTATTTGTTCTCATTCCCTTCATATTCCATTAGTAAGGAGTATATTCCACTCAAATTCTTCCCCAGAACTGATGTAATATGGAATAGACTCCCAAGGGGATGCTTCCTTGATCACATCGATCTTTATCTCTTCAAAACTAGAGTCAACTGTTATTTATCCTATATATCCTTATAATATACACCTCTTACTCTCTCCTTATATGCTCTTATAACAATATTATGTGGTAACACTCTACCTTGAGTAGCTCTTGGGTCTTGTATTGGGTAAACAATAGGATAAAAGAACTAGCATCCTCATTTTTGTTGCTCTGATTCCTTTATTTTGTGTGGCCTACTATTTGCACTATATTGGTTCTATATATATATATATATATTTTTTTTTTTTGTCATCTTCAAAGAATTTTCAACAAAATCCTTTAACCTGATGTCCTTATTTCTTGATTTTTTTATATCTTGGTATTATCTTTCCTTTGCCTCCAATATATCCTGTGAGTGTTAAATTCTCTAAGCCCTCTTTCCTTTATTGTGTGTCCTAGAAATTTCAACTCTCTTTCTGATGCTAAGTATAAGTGTCTTTTTTGTTCCCAATTTCTTAAAACTTCCTTGTTGCTCCTATGCTCTATTCATATTCTGAGCATCTTTCTTTAGAACCACATCTCTGCTGCCTCCCTTTCATCAGCCAGGAAATCATCCAGCCATCTCTGTTATATAGAAGGACTGATACTACATAGCAGTAGTTGATCATACATTCTGACAAAATTTTCCTGTTTCTTAATACCATGTTTAGCTTTTAGAAAACATCTTTTTCTATTCCTATGTGTCTTCAGATTTCTGCATCACATTTTCCATTGTCTTATAAAACTTCCCAGATTGTTAAATCTCTGTAATTGCTTTATTTTGACATCTCCAATTTTTAGCTTATATCCTGGGAAGCCTCTTTTGTTAATGACCATAGGTTCTATTTTCAACAGAACCCTTTATCCTAATGTCTTTATTTCTTGATTTGTTATACTCTGCTTCAGATTAGATCTCTTTCTGATTCATTCCATTTGTTGATGTGAATGCTAAGAAAGCAAAACCCAAAATAAAAAGTACAGCAGCTCAGCTCTGAGCATCATATCAGTCCCGCAAAATAAATCCCTTAAAGATATATAAAATACAATATAAAAGAATCTAATCATAAACATTACCGCCAAAGAAAATACATGAAAAAAAGAGTTTATAAGCCACCACATTTGCTTTTAAGAACACCAATCATAGCAACTTAAAAAGAATCGCAGTGAATGAACAAACTTCAACTAATCTGCCATCAGCAAGCTCTCAGTGTCACCACCAGTGACCTCAGTCAACTAAATTGACAAACACATTAACTCCAGTCCCTACCAATGTTACTCTTCCTCCAAGTTGCTTCTCTTGCCCACAAAGAGACATTCTATTCACATCCTCTGTATTGGCAATACAAAGAATTTTATATTAACAATTCTTGTCTTTACCTTTCACTTCACTGGGGATATTTGTTGTTCTGTTTGTTTTCTCATGCTACCATATGTTTTTATAGCAAAATTGTTGGTTAGTCTTGTCTTCTTACTACCTTTACCACCTTGTCTGCAAGTACCAGCTGTAGTTTTCTTTCTGTATCTGCCATAAATATGGTGCCACTTGAATATCTCATCTTATTGTGGTTGTGCCTGCCAATAATAGATTCTGGCAGAATCTTAAGATCACCTTAATGTATCTCTATCTATAAAAGGCAGGATGTGTGTGTGTAACGAATGTACGGCCACAATTTTCGACAGATTTGCACCAAAATTTACATGCACATGCTCCAAGTTAGCAGGAAGGCCAAGACTGACTTTGCATTTCCCAACTCCCATTGATAGTGGAAATAATCAATTTTTTCATGCTTCTATGGCAGTTTTCATGTAGTTTGCGGCCATTTTCTACTGGCCAGAGTGAGAGCCAATAGCTGGCTGCCACGAATAGACAGGAAGATTCTATTGGCCAACGTGAGAGCCAACAGCTGACTGACAAAGAATATTAACTAGCATGCTAGTATGCAAAAAAAATCGATAGATGTATTCGTCAGAAGTGGGAAAAATTTAAATCTGCATGGCACTTTACTCCAATTGGCTCATTCACTTGCTTAAACTCAATGTTGGTTCTGATTCCGCAGAACTAGGTTGGGTGTGAAAAAGTATTTGTTTTTAACATTCTTTTTTCATTCGGTTTTTCCAGTTACGAGTCCTTTTTTAAAGCTGATCGTTTTCTGTTCATTTTGTTTATTTCTTTTTCGTAACAGATTTAATGTTTAGTATAGAGCTTTGAAAAAAATTTGCAGTGTGAGATAGGCAAGAAGTAAGGCATGTAGCAACATCAGCACAGCAAAGGGCACTCCTTAAAAAGGCAAGGAAGGGCAAAAATATTTTAAGTCAAGTGATAGCGATTGCTGTATGAGTCGTACGATTTTTGAATCAAGCACGGGCAACGCCAGGCCATGCTGCTAGTAGGTTAAATAAATCCAATGAGAATCCTTGATTTATGCCCCTTTCTTTTTTTC